GAGCAAATAGGGTATGTAATAATTCAAATTATAAGGGATAATTTATCAGCACCCCTTACTTGGAGCTAAGAAAAACAGTGTTTAAGAAGGAAGTAAACTAGAAATGCTGCGGACTGACTTATTACCTGTTGTCAACATTTCAAATCTTCAAAACAAAAGAGGAGGTGCCAGAATCTTAGTTTTTCCAGAATGACAGAAATCATAGCTGAACTCCTGATATGGCTTCTTGATCCTGATTCCTTAAATTAGAATTTTTTGGGCTTGAGAAGAGCTAGACTGAATAGAAATTAAGGCAAAACTGGAGGAGTGCAGCCATGCATACTGCCATTTGTTAGGAAGTTGACTGTGGAATCAAAGGCAATGTGATTGAGTAAAATTACTCATTTTGTTACAGACTGATTAAGGAACTTGTGTAAACAAATTGAAAGAATACAGCAGCACTCAATAGTACAAAATATACAGCAATGTCTGCAACATTCAGATCACAAATTACTTATTGAATTCAACTACTCAAAACTAGGTATATGTTAATAAACACTGTACATATAACCAATATTCAGAAAGAAGAAACTACAAGAAAGCAAATGTTTTCATCTGTGTTTAAATGGGCATCATCAGACTAACTGTTAAACCGCATTTCCATTAAACATGGATTAAAATGTTTTCTCATAGTTTCTTCTTGTTGGATATTAGTTATATGTGCAGTGTTTATTACTTATTGAATTTTGTGAAAATAAAAATGTCCAATAATTTAGCATTTTCAAATGTGGCACCATTCCAGTGGCATTTTATCCTATGGGCAATAAAGGGCAATTGCCTGGTGCCCCAACCAACTTAGGGTCTCAAACCAATCTTTTATAAGGAAATATCCCCAATTAAAAACTCTAAAACCTATAATCCAGCAATTTTTATAATATAGGCCTGATGATGCCTGTTCAACATGGGTGAAAATGTTTGCATGTATTATAAAAATTGCTAGATTATAAGTTTAGTGTTTTTAATTCAAGTATAACCAGTTTTGAGTGGTAGTATTATAGAAAATATCCCCCACAAATTTCCCCCAAAGAAGAGTGTCTACAGTCAACACTGTACTGACCCGTCCATCCCACTAGATGGCGGGCAGTTTTAATGGTTTTTTATTGTTAATATTTAATGTTTAATAATATGATTGAAGAGAGTTGGCAACACCAGGACGGTGGTGTTAAGTTCCAAAAAAGGTGCGAGAACATAACGGAATGCTCTTCCTATCGAATTATTGTATATAGTCGATTTGTTGGTTTTTTGTGTGAATAAAATCTAAAAGACGGACTTGGTGAACTTTTCTTAGTTGGAGATACGACGGGAACCTGGTGTACGAACAAGACGGTCAGGTGAGACTTACAAAAATTAATTAATCATCACACGAGACAAGAATCGGCCTGACGCGACACTGTACATAGAGCCTCCTAATTCAAATTTTCATGGGTGCCCATGAAACTATAATGCACCACTGCACCACTCTGATAGTGTAAGTGCCAGATTAGTAAATGTCTACTGCATTTTAAAATGTTTTTGTTTATATATATATAGACACACATACACACACACAAAACCAAAATTATACTGACATTAATAATTATTTAAAATTAGTTAACTATTAATTTTAAATAATTGTCAAAAACAAAATTAATATTTATCTACATATTGTTAATATTCAAAAACCAATATCTAATACATCACTAATACATGAACATAAATAAAAATGTATATACAAAAGACACTAACATAGAATTTTTATTTGAGTTTTAGATTCATATTTGTTTATTAAGTGCACCACTCTGAAATGAATACAGTATTACACTAAACCAACAAAAGGACAAATACAGAATAAGAAGAAGGAAAAATAAACTGAACAATGAACATAACAATAGTAATGATAACTAACAACTGGCTAACTGTCATTGCTTTCTGAGTTAACTAACAAGCTAATTCAAAAAGTTGCTAACCATTTTTTCTTAAATTTGAGACTCTAAGTTTTAGATGTATTTTTTTTTTCTTCAACTAATAAAGAAATTTGGTGGAAAATTTGCCATGTGTCTTAGGAATAAAACACAATACTAGTGTTTACTACGCCACAAAAATTTTAGATGTATCTTATGAATATAAAATTGCTGAGCCATTTCTCAAAATGCATATATAATTTCATAAAAGAATAAAAAAATTACAGAAATAAATTTTTATTTTATAAATTTCACAACATTTATTGAGAAAGCCTCATGAAATTTCTCTTCTCAAGAAATAAAAAATGTTTAGCNCATTTCTTGTGAAAGAAACATTTCTTATTCAACGGCGATAAAAATTATTTATATTAATGATGTCTCCAAAGTTCAGCGAAGTTTTCGCAGAAAAATAACATCAGAAATCGCAGCCGCGGTTTGCTGAGTTGTTCCGCGACGAAAACAAGCTTGAGCAATGGCGATGTCGAATGGTGCACACTCGGTAAGTAATCCTACAATTTTTTGTTTATAGCATAGTTTATATGGATTATTTCCAAAAAAAAATATATATATTTTGGAAATGTTGAGTTGGATTAATCTAGAATCGATTAATTTTATGGAAGAAAACCTTTCAAACAGCCGTAGTCCGTACTTGACACGTGTCGGGCTGTGATTGGAAGGACTCGTAAAAAATCAGATTCCTAAAGAATGGAACGTATCTACTGTCTTATAGGGGGGTCGACTGTATATACATGGGAAAGAACAATGGTTTATTTTCCTTTTGATCTATGTGTCTCCTTGTCTTGATATAATAAGTCGGATATTAAATGGCAGTCTTGGAGCATAATACATATAGAATTAAAATATTTTATTGGAAAAATTGGTTTAGAAAAGAAAGTAGAAACTGATTTACTAAGACCTATTTCTATAGTCAGAAAAAATACATATAATGTTACTAGAACTTGACAATTATCTTTTTTATATTTTATCATCATATTTTTCAATCCAATGATGAATTATTTAAAAAATTTAATTCCTTCTGTAATTTATTCAAACTATAATTAATAGCTACTGAAAAAAAANCAGCCCCACTTACACACCTTCCTCCAGCACTTCTCACACAACTCTCAAATTGGATAATTTTGAGCAGAACACCTTGTATAAAATTAAATTATAATTTACAATGAATAAAGGTAAAATACAGGTTAGTTCATCCAAAAAAATTCAAGGGATTTCATACCTATATTAGGGAAAAAAAACAAATAAATATAGTAATTATTTTAAATGTAAGCCTTAGTATATATAAAACAAATATAAGGCAATTTTGGCAATATAATTTAATTCTTTATATACAGGAAAATCATTTATTAAAGTGCAATGCAAAGTCAGTTTCTTGTTTTAAAATCTATGATGTGTTTCAAATGTTTAAAGCTCTAATTAATGTTTGATTTTGCTCTCTACTCAAATACATTATTTTTAAGATTAAGAATTTGAAAATGAGATAGATTTTTCTCAAAAAATGTTTAATCTGACCCCATGCACTTTTTAGTATTTATCTAATGTAATTTAATTTTAAAATCAATGTTAATACACTACAGGTAACATCCGTATAACACGGTACTTTTATAGCATGGATTCACTCTGACACGGTTCGAGAAATGGGTAAAATCCTCGTACAACATAAAATGTAATAAATTTTTACATACTTAAGTACTAATAGTTCACAAAAATTATTATTTTCGTGAACTATTAGTACTTCAGTGTNAATAAAAATAATGAATGAAAGTAATAAATCAAGAAACTAAAAAAGTAATGTCTTAATTTTATCAATGTCTAGCATTTGTAAGTACAGTATTACCAAAACAACATTACATACCATGAAAATATTTACATTAAATTTACTTTTAAAGCTTTTTTCTGACTAAAATTCTTACCAATTCATCATATCTATGGCAGCTCTGAAAATCATTTAAAAACCATGGAAACAAGTACTGTATGCTGATTGTAGGGAGAGAAGAAAAGAATTGTCAGTACTCCAAAAATTATAGATATCTTTGATTGTATATCATTCTAACTTGCATTCATCGACATGATATCCTATTTTGTACAATAGTTATGGCAGCTAAATATAATCAATGGAAAACTTTGAGCTTTGAAACAACTAAAACTGAAACTTTTCCTCCCCGTGAAGGTATCATCTGTAAATGGTTGCTTATATCACTTACATCTGAAATTGGCCCTAATAAGGATTAAACTGTAAATTACAAATGTTCAAGTATTTCTGAGCACTTCAAACAAAATTCTTATGTCAACAATAATGTAGTCTTTTCATACTTATAATTATTTCATTCATGCAGATGGTTTGCAATGTTTCTTTACCCTATATTTTTAAATGTATAGAACAGTTTTGTACAATTTTGTATAGTTTTATTTTATTCAAAAGATTGGCAAGTCAATAAGTAAAAAGATAAAAACGAGATTATTTGTATTCAAGACAAAGCAGATGTTGGATGCATCTTGATGATTATCCCTATTATGGCAAGGTGTTTCATGTGATTCTTCATTTTCTCTTATTACTTTTGGGATAAAATCCTCAACTTATGCACCAAAAATATCTAAGGAATAAACTTTAAATGTCTAGACTCTAACATAATTTATAGAAATGAGTGAACAGTCAAGTAATTTGAGACTTCAAATTCTAAGCATGGAACTATATACATAAATTGTCTTTCAATGTTATATTAGTAAGCATTCACATATGGCGTGGCTAAAATTGATTTATAAATTTTCTTTATCAACATTTACGTGTTCAACATTACTTCTAACTAATCCTGAAGTCACTTGTAATTTCAGGATTAATCAATGTCACATGTTCACATGAATATTTGTTTAAAAATCGAATACTTATATAAATTAATGGTAATTACTAAACTGTAATTCAACATATGTATAAAATATTATTTAATATATTTTAAATACAATGACAATTTATTCAAAATGAAATGAAAAGTTTTATTATCCTACCTGATTTAGATTTTCTCTAGACTTTTCCAGTATTTCAAGATATAATGATAAAAGTTCTAAGTAACTAGTAGGTGTCGTGTAATAAGGTCTGTTTAATTCCTGATAAAATATATTTCCCTTGACAATGACAGTGGAATGAATGTTAACACACATTTTTGATAGTTTTGTTATTGATAATTCATCACAATATAATTCTGTTTCACTAAAAGTGCTTTGAGCAATAGAAAACAAGGCTTCTTTGGGCCACTCGTTAAACCAGACAATTGTACTGCAATTTACAAGAGACGGAAACATCCTGCACCTTGAACGAAAAGCATCACCCACTGGAGTCATACATAAAATCATGTGAATGTTCTTCCTGAAAACTGAAATAAAATAATCATAAATATCATCTCTGCTAGTAAATCCAAATTCTTTTGCAGAAGACGACATTTCAAGAATCATTTTTTCATAATTATCGGCTTCAAAAAGATTAGACACTTCTCCAGAATTCAAAATATTATTAATAGCTTCCAAAAATTCTTCAGTCACTATTTGATTATCAGTAAATTTAAAAACAGTTTGTTGACCTTTCAAGCCTGCTTTTTCATACAGAATTTTAAGATCTTCTTGAAATGATTTATAATTATATCCTTTTGACAGTATTATTTGAAAACAATGATAATTATAAAGATGACATGACAGCCTGAAAAAAAAAACATGGGTCCTAAGAGTATCTGCTAAACCCAAATTGTACTGTATCAGTAACTTTAATAGAATTTGTCTAATTTATTTATTGCTTAATATAATATACACTTTTTATATTAAAATTCATTAACATTTAAAAACTAAAACTTACTCCGCAAGACTCTGTTTACCACATCCACCGACGCCTATTAATAATGCATTGCCTCGTTCTTGACGAATAATTCTAGCGATTCGTACTACATGTTTAATTGCATCTTCGAAAAATATCAATTTTAATGGTTTCTTATGAATCAAATTATAATTATCTAAACACTAAAAAACAATAAAATTTTTTAAATATTGAAATTAAAATTTAATATTAAATAGAAAGAAGATGTACTTTATAATAATTCATTTTGAAATTTGAAATGTGAACATTGAGTGCCACTTACAAGATAGCGGCACTCAACGTTCACATTTTAGAGATAATCAATTAAAGTTTAAAAAAATAATTAATACATAAAAAAACTTCAATGGTATTTATATATTCTAAATAATAAAGCTTCTGATAAGATATAGTTTAGAAAATTTTATTTTACATTATTTTTTGTGGAAATAATTAAAATAAAAATTTCTTATAAACAAATTTGTGGAATCCTTGAAGGCTGCCTGAAGAACTTTATGGTTCCATAGAACAGAATTTGCATACAGTTCCTTATTGCTTATACACCTAGAGAACTAATTATAAAAAATAGACTCCAAACTCCTATTCTCTATCAACATGATAGTGATCTCTGGCTGATTTGCTCTCCATATGCCTCCTGAAGAAACACAACAAATAGATCAAATGGCTTCTCTAAACACAAAAATGCATACACAATGCAGACATGGATCTTGGCTTCATATGTTGGAATAGTATTGATCCTCTCCAACATCTTCAATGAGTAACCAGACACAGCCCCACTTACACACCTTCCTCCAGCACTTCTCACACAACTCTCAAATTGGATAATTTTGAGCAGAACACCTTGTATAAAATTAAATTATAATTTACAATGAATAAAGGTAAAATACAGGTTAGTTCATCCAAAAAAATTCAAGGGATTTCATACGCAAAAGTAATTATTATTCATTGTTTCATATATGATTATATAATAATTTTGTTAATATTAACAGATTACTGCATTATTACTTTTAGAGAATTTAATAAAAATCAAATCTAAATTTCAGACTGAAGATGAAATAATCACTTGAAAAACAGAAACTAAATTTAATTTTCAAAAATCTGCTGCTTACTTTCTGTTTAGTAATATACAAACTGCTTCCATAACAGTCTGAACCATTTCGGGAGGACTACTAAAAACTCTTATTTCTGCAATGTCATTTTTATCTACAGCGTCTAGGGCCATGATAGCTAATGTTAATTGAGGAAGTGCTTCTTTAAGATCTTTCTGAGCATCTGCTTGAATTGCAAATGTTTCATCTGCTTTAGCTTTCACTATAGTCTTTTCTTTTATTATACTCTGATGAACCTGTAAAGAATAATTTTACATTTAATATATACTACATATTTCTCATTTGACTATAAAATAAAATCATTTCTTATACAGGGTATTTCAAAAACATACCGACAAATTTTAGGGAGTTATAGACAACACCAAAACAATCACTTTTTTTAATAAATCCATGAATTTTAATAAAAATTCATTTGCAAACATGGGTTTACTAACAAAAAGTGATTGTTTTGGTGTTGTCTGTAACTCACCAAAATTTGTATGTTTTTGAATCATACTGTATGTATCTTAAAAATATAATCTAAGAAGATTTATTTAAAAATTTAAATTAACTTTAACTTGATCATTATATTGAAAAAATAAAAGATAAAGGAAAGAATTGAACACATNAATTCAAAATTTTTATCAAAGCTAAAAATCAGAGAGAACAAAGAACAAATGTTTCCTGTGTTGACAGTCAGTTCCCAAGAGAGATTTTATCATCCATAACTAAAGTGCTGACTAAACCAAAAAGACTCATCATGACACACAGTCAGATGATCTTAATCCTTAATCTCTATTGGAGGAGAAAAATAGTATAAATAGAGGAAACATGCGAAAATCCATGCAGCACAACACATCACATAGTATCCTCTAGTCTTTAACTTAGTGCCATACTTTATAGATTGAACTTCCACCCAAAAGACAGGAAGGTTACAAGTCAAGAATAATATGGAGGTATTATTATAGTACTTTTGTAAACTCTCTCTCATATTCAGAAGATAGAATACCTTAAGATTTAGTGTCAATCTAGAATTGAAGACTTTTATAGTCATTTTCCTTGAATATTATTATATTGTAGTCCCACCATGGGCAAATGCGGCTCTTGATGAAAGTGTTAATTTCTGCTTTTTATTATTATTTTTACAAGTTTATTTCCACAATTTTGTGAAAATATAAAACAAATATTGAATTTTTTTAATAAATATATCATATTTATATTATATAATAAAATCGCGGTACAGAACTGCAGTACAGAATAAAAAAAGTTCAGAACTGTGGCTCCCATGCATTTTGCAAAACCTACATTTCGGCTCCCACTGACCTCTTGCTTGCCCACCCGTTATAGTCTGTAATATGTGTAATAATAAATAAATAATAATAATAACGCAAAATAATTTTGTGACAATCTTGTGGCAACACAATAACAAAAAATTGTTGCTTCTTTGTGTGCCAGAAATTCTCCTTCCCTGTATATACAAATTGTTTTGCACGTGTATACCATTGTATTTCCAAGTGCTATCCAACAGCTCCCCTTTGCGGCTCATGTCCTTTTTTCCACTTTCAAACCTCCAACCATCCCACCCTCCTAACTTTTCCTCAAATCACTCTCCCTCCTTCCTTCACCCATCTTTCTTATCTTTAAGGCTACACCTTTGAGTACAGCCTTTTCTTTCACATGTATGTATGTGTACTAGAAAATAAACAAGTAATAAGTAGCCCTCTTGCCATATTTTTTTATTCCAAATTAACACTTTTCAATTATATTTTATAATCATTAAACATAATAAATAATCTATTTTTGCATCTATTGAAATTAGTAATTGTCAATCACTGTTTCATTTTAACTTTCTATTGTTTATTCTATTTTAAATATATGTTTAGTCTGTATCCAGAATATCGGAAAATTCATAAAGCAGGACCATTTCCAATTCCAAGCTTGCCAGACATTTGATCCATTACTATATTTTTATAAAAATTAAAATATAATTTTATTAATGTACTGGATTTTGTTTTTTACTACTGGTGCAGTTTCTATGTAATGAATTATCTGCATTTTCTGGAGGCAATTCACTATATAGAGATTATAAATATACCACGTTAATCTTATAATGCTTTGAAGTTATTTTTGGAACATAACACAAACGTTTTTGGCCCACCCTAGAAATTTCTTCAGGTGGAATTCTAGAAAAAATTTTTTCTGTTGTGATCAGAGTTCCAATGTGTTCTAACTGGGTGGACCAAAAACTGTGTAAAATTCCAAAAATAACTGCAAAGTATTATAATGTTAGTGCATTATATTTATAATTAATGATTTGTTTATTGGATAGATTTTACATAAAGATTTGACTGATATATGAGTGTATATAGCCAGAAGAAATAATATATATAACATAAGTTCTTCAAAACATTTCTCCAAAAGTTCACAAAATTTAAAAAAAACTAAAGAATTCTTAATAGAATTATTATATGTTGATCACTAGCTTATTAAGGATTGAAATCAATGTTAAAGTATTTACTTCGTCGGCATTGGCTTGATCCGAAGCTAACTTCTTCAACAAGGAATCGGTTAATTCACGTTGGCGTTTTAATTCAGGCTCTTTTGCTGTCAATTCACGCTTAAGTTTTACTATTACTTTGTGTGCTTCGTAAATATTATCAAGACCATTGTTGAATTTCTTTATTGCCTGAAAATTCAATTTTTTTATTAATAAATTTTTCAATATCAATAAAAATGACAAATCTAATGCAATATTTATAATATAATTAGAATAATCTAAAAATTATTATTATGTTTAAAAAAGCAAAATAAGTAATATTTTATAACAACTAAAAACACAAATATTGTCAAATCACATTCCATTTAATAAAAATTTTGGCATAAGACACTTCTATCTGCAATGTAGATATACTTTTAAATATATTTTACAATTTGTTAATGAATGTAAGTGTGAGATTCTGGATATTTTGGAATAAAATATTCAAGAAAATATAGAAAATCTTTTAAAAATTAAATAAAATAAAAATTCAAAATTTTTATCAAAGCTAAAAATCAGAGAGAACAAAGAACAAATGTTTCCTGTGTTGACAGTCAGTTCCCAAGAGAGATTTTATCATCCATAACTAAAGTGCTGACTAAACCAAAAAGACTCATCATGACACACAGTCAGATGATCTTAATCCTTAATCTCTATTGGAGGAGAAAAATAGTATAAATAGAGGAAACATGCGAAAATCCATGCAGCACAACACATCACATAGTATCCTCTAGTCTTTAACTTAGTGCCATACTTTATAGATTGAACTTCCACCCAAAAGACAGGAAGGTTACAAGTCAAGAATAATATGGAGGTATTATTATAGTACTTTTGTAAACTCTCTCTCATATTCAGAAGATAGAATACCTTAAGATTTAGTGTCAATCTAGAATTGAAGACTTTTATAGTCATTTTCCTTGAATATTATTATATTGTAGTCCCACCATGGGCAAATGCGGCTCTTGATGAAAGTGTTAATTTCTGCTTTTTATTATTATTTTTACAAGTTTATTTCCACAATTTTGTGAAAATATAAAACAAATATTGAATTTTTTTAATAAATATATCATATTTATATTATATAATAAAATCGCGGTACAGAACTGCAGTACAGAATAAAAAAAGTTCAGAACTGTGGCTCCCATGCATTTTGCAAAACCTACATTTCGGCTCCCACTGACCTCTTGCTTGCCCACCCGTTATAGTCTGTAATTGTTAAGTAGTCATGTAAATTGTTGTTATTTTATTTTATTTATTTATCTTTGATAATCAGCAACAAACTATTAATTTTATAATTCTAAGACAAGAAGCAAGTTTATATTGGACAGCTCATCAGATGCTTAAATTCTGAATGTCTCGTCATAGCATCATAGCCCTACTACTGCAGGACTACAATGACAAGATGATAATATTTTGCATCCATTTATTTATAGTAAGGTGTGAATTTTAATTAACCGTTACTATCTATTAAGTTCATTTCTCATAATCTCATGTCTGATTAATATTGATATTGAATTTATAATGCAATAAATGTATTACTTCTTAAATCCATCCAAGTAAATTGTGCAGGTTGCAAATATATCTCAATATTAGTAAGGTAGAAAAGTGTATGGTTCTTATAAACATTCTTGTGCTTCTCTTATCAAACAATATTTACAAAATTATCTAATCAGAATATTTTTAAGTAATTATTTTTCTCAGCTAACTCATTAAACTAAATTAGTTTGTAGATGAAAATAAACATCAAGTCAATTTCAATTGAAAATTAAGTGCAAGTAAGATAAAAATTTACAAGAATGTTGTGACCCACAGATATATGAAAATGCAATGACCCATGGTTATTGGAAGAGAAAAAGGAGATAAAGATTAGAAGATTGGGGGAAAGTAGGAAAGAGATTGAATAGATAAAATAGCTTATCATTAAAATTTATTTTATGCAAGGTTTTTTTACAATACACTTTATGCTTTAATAAAAAAAAAATACATCTACAAATAAAAATAATGAATGAAAGTAATAAATCAAGAAACTAAAAAAGTAATGTCTTAATTTTATCAATGTCTAGCATTTGTAAGTACAGTATTACCAAAACAACATTACATACCATGAAAATATTTACATTAAATTTACTTTTAAAGCTTTTTTCTGACTAAAATTCTTACCAATTCATCATATCTATGGCAGCTCTGAAAATCATTTAAAAACCATGGAAACAAGTACTGTATGCTGATTGTAGGGAGAGAAGAAAAGAATTGTCAGTACTCCAAAAATTATAGATATCTTTGATTGTATATCATTCTAACTTGCATTCATCGACATGATATCCTATTTTGTACAATAGTTATGGCAGCTAAATATAATCAATGGAAAACTTTGAGCTTTGAAACAACTAAAACTGAAACTTTTCCTCCCCGTGAAGGTATCATCTGTAAATGGTTGCTTATATCACTTACATCTGAAATTGGCCCTAATAAGGATTAAACTGTAAATTACAAATGTTCAAGTATTTCTGAGCACTTCAAACAAAATTCTTATGTCAACAATAATGTAGTCTTTTCATACTTATAATTATTTCATTCATGCAGATGGTTTGCAATGTTTCTTTACCCTATATTTTTAAATGTATAGAACAGTTTTGTACAATTTTGTATAGTTTTATTTTATTCAAAAGATTGGCAAGTCAATAAGTAAAAAGATAAAAACGAGATTATTTGTATTCAAGACAAAGCAGATGTTGGATGCATCTTGATGATTATCCCTATTATGGCAAGGTGTTTCATGTGATTCTTCATTTTCTCTTATTACTTTTGGGATAAAATCCTCAACTTATGCACCAAAAATATCTAAGGAATAAACTTTAAATGTCTAGACTCTAACATAATTTATAGAAATGAGTGAACAGTCAAGTAATTTGAGACTTCAAATTCTAAGCATGGAACTATATACATAAATTGTCTTTCAATGTTATATTAGTAAGCATTCACATATGGCGTGGCTAAAATTGATTTATAAATTTTCTTTATCATCATTTACGTGTTCAACATTACTTCTAACTAATCCTGAAGTCACTTGTAATTTCAGGATTAATCAATGTCACATGTTCACATGAATATTTGTTTAAAAATCGAATACTTATATAAATTAATGGTAATTACTAAACTGTAATTCAACATATGTATAAAATATTATTTAATATATTTTAAATACAATGACAATTTATTCAAAATGAAATGAAAAGTTTTATTATCCTACCTGATTTAGATTTTCTCTAGACTTTTCCAGTATTTCAAGATATAATGATAAAAGTTCTAAGTAACTAGTAGGTGTCGTGTAATAAGGTCTGTTTAATTCCTGATAAAATATATTTCCCTTGACAATGACAGTGGAATGAATGTTAACACACATTTTTGATAGTTTTGTTATTGATAATTCATCACAATATAATTCTGTTTCACTAAAAGTGCTTTGAGCAATAGAAAACAAGGCTTCTTTGGGCCACTCGTTAAACCAGACAATTGTACTGCAATTTACAAGAGACGGAAACATCCTGCACCTTGAACGAAAAGCATCACCCACTGGAGTCATACATAAAATCATGTGAATGTTCTTCCTGAAAACTGAAATAAAATAATCATAAATATCATCTCTGCTAGTAAATCCAAATTCTTTTGCAGAAGACGACATTTCAAGAATCATTTTTTCATAATTATCGGCTTCAAAAAGATTAGACACTTCTCCAGAATTCAAAATATTATTAATAGCTTCCAAAAATTCTTCAGTCACTATTTGATTATCAGTAAATTTAAAAACAGTTTGTTGACCTTTCAAGCCTGCTTTTTCATACAGAATTTTAAGATCTTCTTGAAATGATTTATAATTATATCCTTTTGACAGTATTATTTGAAAACAATGATAATTATAAAGATGACATGACAGCCTGAAAAAAAAAACATGGGTCCTAAGAGTATCTGCTAAACCCAAATTGTACTGTATCAGTAACTTTAATAGAATTTGTCTAATTTATTTATTGCTTAATATAATATACACTTTTTATATTAAAATTCATTAACATTTAAAAACTAAAACTTACTCCGCAAGACTCTGTTTACCACATCCACCGACGCCTATTAATAATGCATTGCCTCGTTCTTGACGAATAATTCTAGCGATTCGTACTACATGTTTAATTGCATCTTCGAAAAATATCAATTTTAATGGTTTCTTATGAATCAAATTATAATTATCTAAACACTAAAAAACAATAAAATTTTTTAAATATTGAAATTAAAATTTAATATTAAATAGAAAGAAGATGTACTTTATAATAATTCATTTTGAAATTTGAAATGTGAACATTGAGTGCCACTTACAAGATAGCGGCACTCAACGTTCACATTTTAGAGATGAAAACTTTGACCACAACCTTGCTAGTAGTAACTGCACAATAATTATTATAATCACTGCACTCAAATAATTGAACTATTATTTGCTTACATTGGATATAAAACAAAATTTATATCAATGTAGCATAATTGCAATTCCCGAAAAGTAAGGATTATTTTGCACTAAATCATGAATTTACCTGAATAAGTCTTGCTTTAACTTTTGCTATATCATCCAACAATTCATAATCTCCTTCCTCTTTCATAAAGTCTCCAAATAAAATATGTTTATGAGACAACGTCATCGATTTATTAAATCTTTCCATAGATATATCATTTAGAATTTTGTTGAATAAATCTTTATCATCATTATTTATAAGTCTATCTTGGAAAACTCTTGCACTTTCATGATAAAACAATTCATAAATATTTTTCCTTCTTTTTATTCTGTTGGGTTTCACTTGCAACATCCCCTAAGATATTCAAAAATTATTTTGTAAGAAAAATTCTAAGTATACAAATGTTCATTTTCAATAATTTGCTGAACCTTTATTAAACCAATTTCAAAAACATTTTCATATTTTATTATTATTTAGTATTGGTGACATCCCTTGCCTGTTCTAAGTGGAAGAACAGTAGCATTGAAAAACCTCAAGAACATAAAAGTAAAAGGAAGTGTGTAGAGGATTCTGGAAAAAAAAGGAAACCTGTATGTAAAAAATGTCCATTTAGAGAGAGAGAAGAGGATAGTGCTGTGGACAGGAATTGGAAATATGTACAGTGGTACCTCAATATACATCTGCTTTAGAATACGTCCAATTCGGAATATGTCCTATTTGGACGAAACAAATTTTGCTCGGTATACGACTTAATTCAATTATACGTGCCATCTATGAACAAGTTGCACTATCGGTGTATTAGACCATACTAGACGTTCACGGTGCCACAGTTTATAACTTTGTTAAATTTCTTCTGATTTTAATTTGTAAGTAAAATTTTATTATTTTTATTAATCATGAATTGCAAAAAGACAAGTGAAAAGCAACAGAAAACTAAAAAAATGACTAGAATCACAATGGAACTGAAAAAAGAGAGAGATTGTTGAGGAATATGAAGGTGGTATTATGCATGGTTGAGATTTAACTGTTGCATTCCGTATTCCGAGAATGACGATAACGACAATTGCAAAAAATAAAGACATTATTAAATCTGCTAATGTTGCGAAAGGAGTTAAATCAATTTCTAAACAGAGATCAAAGACATGTTGAGAAATTGCTTTTGCTTTGGATAACTGAAAAACAGTGTGCTGGCGACATCGTATCAGAAGCAATTATTTGCAAGAAAGCTAAAAAGATACATGCTGATCTCATGAAAAATGGAGCATGAACTAGCCAGGAAAGCAAGGTGTTTAAAGCCAGCCATTTTTTTTTACATGAGAACGGATTAATCATTTTTACATTACTTCTTATGGGAAAGGTTGGTTTGGTATACATCCTATTCGGTATAAGTCCAAACATTAGGAACGGGTTAAGGTTGTATACCGAGGTTCCACTGTACTTAATAAGAAGAGGTAAAACTTAGATTGCCTAAGATCATGCAAGGTGATTTAGGAGTAATTACGGAGAACTGCTGAAAATTCCAAGACTCAAAAATTAATGTAAGATTTGACAATTTTATGATTTTTGGGACCATTGCTAACAGTTACCAGTTCCATCACCAACTGGACTATTGTTAATTAAGATCCTCTACTGTGTTAGTGCTACATGTAATTATCATATCTGTAAAAGGAGGGATCCATCGATTTACTGCTTGTTTACATTTGTATCCCCTTTTGATGACATTAACCATTATATTAAAGTTATTGTGTTACTTTTGACACTTGTCTTTGTCTTATTGAGCTGTGAGAAGAATGGATTAACCTGAACAGGTGTGACAGATGTTTTACACCCATCATTCATTTCTACCATCCTTCTGCTTGTCTTTTGTTATTTATTATTATTTGTTATTTGCTGTTTTTATATATATATTTATAACAAATTTGTTCTTTCTCCCCGCACTATTATAGTTAACATAGTTAGCACAGTTTCTATGCTAACTATAATACTGTAGGGAGAAAGAATGAATTTGTTATAAATGTATATATAATTGAATTTATATAATTGAAGTTTTTATATTTAAATTTATATAATTAAAGTTTAAAGTATAAGTTTATTTGATAGTCATATATATCAGAAAGTTATAAATTTGAGCACTACAGAAAAATCAGTGACAAAAATGATATTTAATTATTTCACTCTTTATGCTTCAATACTAAACATACATAAGACTTAATGTGACATTAATTAGACATATATAATAGATCAACTTTCATTTATTAAATGCATGCCCGTTTAATAAAGATATCAATGAATAATTCAATGTTCAATAAAAAAAAGTTTGATTAAAAAATATTTATCATCATCATGATCAGATATATTTAACCAGAAACTTCCTTGTATCTCTAGATTCACCAGAATGCTTTTTAAATTTCACATAAAATATAATTATGAAGACGAAAATTATGCAAAAAATTGAACTCAGTAAATTGTCACCAGATGGAAAAATGGCATCAAAAATAACTGAGAGGTTAGAGAAATTGCTTATAAAATTAAGTGTGAAAGATTAAATACCTTAGATGTGGCAACTACATAAGTGCTTGCTAATTCAACAATGGATAACGTTAGACTTGTTAAGCTTGTAGGAGACTGTAATATAACTGGTTAAACTTGTAGAACAGATTACATGAACAAAGAACAAAGATTACACAACATGTCTAATGAAAGTTTGGCACTAGAAAAGGGGCAAGTAAAAGGAAATCAGAGTGACTAACAGTTTCCTAACCTAAAATGTTATTAGATTTTATTGTTGGGCTTACTTTTGGGATATTTCTTTACATAGTTATTTTTACAGATGTGTTTTAATGGTTATTTGTATTTCTTATTTTTTAGCTTCATTATTATAACTTTTACCATTCTTGCATTTTTATTTCAGGTTTGTTATTTAATGATCTTTCAGGGCCACCACTGCCTTACGGCATTGCCAAAGTAATTTCATAATAAAGAACAAAGACTCAAACCTCTGTGTGTGATTTGTTCAATGATTTTATGAGATTATTACGTATAGATTTGATTCTATAAATCAATTTTGTACAATAACACAAACTCTTCAAAAGTGAAATTGCAACATGATTACAGAATATGCAAATGTACTGGTCCCGTATAAATGACAAAGATATGCAAATGATTAAAAGAACAAAACAAAGATATGCAACAGACAACTGTTTATTCAGTAAAGAATATGGCCCCTATGTGCAGCTATACAAGCCACTATACAGAAAGACATACTATCACTGAGGTGATTAACGTTTGCATGAAGTATCCCTTGTCAAGCTGCATTCATTGTGCACACATGATGTCTATGGTATTTGGTGATGGTTCTCGATGTACCTCATGTCAAAATGAGGTCCCACATGGGAGAGAGAGAGATCTCTCCAGATCTTTCTCTGACTGCTGCTGACCAAAAAAAGATGCGAATTTCATTCAGGCTGGTGAGAGTTCACCATGTGATGTGCAGTTGGACATTATCTTGCTGGAACACTGTGTTGGATGTGGCCTACATCAGTGACTGAACCAAGGTCCCTAAGGACAAGAACCACTATGTCACATGAATTGTGACATAGTGGTCTGCTGTCAGAGTACTGGAAATGTGCACCAGGGCTGTCTGCTAATCACATAATGCCTAGTATGGGCTGGTGTATGACACTCATAAGAAAACTGTGAGTGTCAAACTAGTGAGCCAAACACGACCTCCACGATGTAGTAATCTAGACTAGGTGATCCCAGCGACACTAACCATTTCAAAACCCAAATCCCAGACTTCATTGACAGGAACCAGGTAGGCCTCCTTTTTTCTCTCCATGCCGGTCAAGCAATGAACTATCTGGTTCATGTCTATGAAGTCTGGGATTTGGGTTTTGAAATGGTCAGCGTTGCTGGAATCACCTAGTCCAGATTACTACATCGTGGAGGTCACGTCTGGCTCACTAGTGAGGAGGCCACTAAGGCATACCTCTTGAAAAGGAAATCTGTTATATCAATCAATCCAATTACATCTGCAAATAGTGTCATCATAGTGTCAAATGAATGATTCCAGGACAGACAATGGAGTCCAATGGATGTTGTATATAGTTCTGTAAAATAAACTCACGACAAGAGTTACAATTACGTCGACCGTGGAAACAGTGGTCAGTGTGTGCGGCGAGGTGAGCAACCAGACAGAACCATGTCCACCCAAAAAGTGGAGTTAGCCACAGTCTGATGTCATATAGGTTAGGGACGATAATCAAATGCCATGTTGCCAACTGCCGCAATCTAATTTTTCATATAACATTTATTTGAGTTTATTCCTTATTCTACTCTGTAAATGTAATATCATCATCTTCCTCCGCTACTAAAAATTTACATATTTGTGTTAAAATAATATAAAATACAGTCGAACCCCCTATAACACGGTAAATACATTCCGTGTTTTATGAATTTGATGTTATACGAGTCACTTAAATACACAGCCCAGCACATATGCAGTTTAGGGACTACGGCTGTTTGAAAGGTTTTCTTCCATAAAATTAATCGATTCTAGACTAATTTGACTCAACATTTCCAAAACATATATAATTTTTTGGGAATAATCCATATAAACTATGCTGTAAACAAAAAATTGTAGGATTACTTACCGAGTGTGCACTGTTTGATGACGCTGTTGCTTAAGCTTGTTTTCATTGTGGAGCAGTGCATCGAACGATGGTGCGTGTTTCCTGATAAATTATTTTTCTGCAAAAAATTTGCTGAACTTTGGAGACATCATTAATATAAATATAATTTTTATGGCCTTTAAATAATAAATGGTTTTTAGTAGGTCTACTGCTCGTTTAAACTCAACGGTTTGTGCAATATCCGCTATTGGTCTAGATTCAACCAATCCTGTTGCAATATGAGTCGGCAATGACATTTTACTGTATTTTACGAGTTTCTTTTAGCGTGTTTATACGAATATGGTCACAACTATTTTGCCATTATATACAAATCCACATTATATGAACCCGTTTTATAGAGGGGTGTACTGTAGTACATTCAATTGCTATTAACTCTGATTAACACTTTTAGTAAATATTACAAATTTAATATAGAGTTTGTATAGTTTTAATGTAATTATTAACTAAATTTTATTAATATTTATTAAAAGACTCTCCGACAGTTTCTTTGTCAGTGAAAAGGGCTGGCATGTAGCATTCCTCAGGATACCAGCACATACATTCATGGCCATCATTCCTCCATAGACAGAAACGGAATTCATCTGTAAACAATACCCAATGCCATTCAGCAGTCAAATTGTGATGACAACGACATCATGCCAGGTGTGCAGCCCCGTATTGAGCAGTTAATGGCACCATGCTGGTGTAACTGAGAAAAAACATAATTCCTGAGAATTGCTCGCATAGATAGAATTATAGAAATTTAATGTTTGCTTTAAATGAAATTTTCTCAACAAAAAATTATCAAATTTACACTAATAGGTATACAGTAAATTGGAATGAAATTTTACAATATGACCAACAATGTCCCATGTGACAATAAACAAAAGAAACTTAACCTAACTTAATTCTAACTTAACTAGTTTTTACAGTAATAGGGCCCTAGATCAAGATGATGGGGGTTTTTTTTTGGAAGAAATAAAAATTAAAATAAAAGAATTTAGAAGAAGGGGAGATGGTTGGTAAATTAACCTGGGATCTTCTTTGTTCAGTGATGATGGGAAATTTCGTTTTGTTCTTACTGACACACACGTTACTCCTCCAAAAACTCAATTTCAAAAGATGACCATCTTTTGAAATTGAATCTTTTGAAATCCTGTCCTTCTCCATCCCTATCTTCCCTTTTGCCTTACTTCTTCTGACCAATTAAGTTCTACCCCTTTTGTTTTAAAGGACACATTAGACCAACCAATATGGGTGAGGACATATGAACACAAGCCCAAAAGTACAGTTTTAAAAGAAATTGGAGAGAAGTTAAAAACACAATGCTTGATCAAGCCACACTGGTTACCATGCGTGCAGCCCAACTTCATGCAATCTGTTGCAAATGGTTTGGGTAGACACAGATGTATTTGTTGATGGTGACAGGTGGCTTTGGATGTCACGTGCTGTGCAAATGGTCCCGACAAACTGTTCAGTGAATCTGCTGGTCTATACATTCTGTCATGGTCTGGTATGAGCCACTCCCTCTTTAGCATTGCAGATGTTCCTGCATCCATCATGTCACTCTTTGCTGGATAGTACTTATGTCATGCCCAACATGTGTGGCAACTGCCTGAATCAACAAACCAAAGTCATGCAGTTTTCCACGATATGGTCTCATTCTCCAACTGTTAACTTGCTTCATCTCCAAGATATTTTCTATGCTTCTTCAAAAGTTTGGCTGCTGCAAACTGATGCTGATAGCATTTATGGCATGAGCCAGCTACTGGTCTTTATAGCCTGAAACTGGGTACCATGTGATCTGACGCATACAGAAACTTAATCATTTGCACATCTCTGTCACCTTTATTGGTCCTGCAATTTGCTTGTGGTACTATGTGTACATATATAATTTAGTTAAAATTAATGCATAATTACTTAAAATAAGTATTACAAAAAATATTAAATAAATTGCAGCTGATATGTTAATTGAAAATCATTAATCCTCGTTATGATTTATAATATTTCAGCTACGAAAATAATAATAATAATAATATTCATTAAAAATCATTGTTGAAATAAAATAATTAAATTTATAAATCATTAAATTATATTGACTAAATAATGCAAAATACCTGAATCAATTTAGAAAGGTCTCGAAAATTAAATACGTAGTGAGATTTGGCTGGAGTTGGCAAAAAGTCCATGTACATACGTAAGTACAAATCAACTCCCGCATTAGCAATGCTTTCTATACTCTTCTGTACTTCAATATTGAAATCTCTAAAGAATTCTACTGCTATTGAAGTAAAAATGTGTTTTAAAGTTTCATATTGAGGTTGATGAATTGCAAAGATTGCAAAATGTCTTAGAAGACGTGGCGTTATGGAACTTCTTCCTCCATCCAAAGGAGCACAGGCAGCAGATAATAAAACATCCTAAAAAAATTGACATTCAATAACTTTGAGTATTTTTTTTAATATTAATGCTTCAAATTGAAAGTTCTATGCCATTTTTAGAACTAATGTTGTAAAGTGATCTCTGTACTAAGCTTTGTGATTTTATAATCATAACACTATTAAAAAAAAGTAAATAATCTCTTCTATACACACTGTAAAATAAACGACTTACTTCTGCTGTAAACCAAAACAGTGCTTATTTCCAAATATTTTCACAAACATTTTCGAACTTAGTTCTTCTTCAGGTGAATAAAACAGGTAGAATCAATGTTATTCGAAATCTGAACGCAATGTTCTAAGGAAACTCGTGCAATCATCGTATTAAACGTGCGCATGCTCTGTAGATAGAAGGATCGCTTTTGGCTTCTCAAGTGTCGTAAATAAGAGTTTGCCATGCTATCGATAAGTATAGTTCATCGTTATTGTTTATACACTTGTCTTCTCTTGCTGTTTTATAGATATATATCACTTCCATCCAGCGCAAATGGTGTATTAGCTGTGTGGTGTAAATTATCTTTGCCTCGTCAAATACAGCTTGTATGTCAGGGATAAAGCTAAATTAGAGCGGATAAAGCTAAAACCATGGTAATTATGAGGAAGCAGATGTACGAGAAATTGCTTATGGAGTACATCAATATCACTCAATGTGAAAAAAGCGGCAGTAACGCAGTTGAAAAACTACAGGCTAAAGTAAAGAGATTCTCCAAAAACAAGTTAGCAAAGAAGTTAGATATTAAGAACATTGCTGTAGACTCTCCAGACACGCCCAAATTATTTGGGTTTGCTAAAACGCACAAAGAAGGCAAACAGATTCGTCCTGTAGTGGATAAGATTCGGGCTCCAACACGCAAACTAGAAGAGAAAATGCACTATATAATAGCACAACATTTAGAAGAATACCAGTTTAATATAAGTAATAGTGTTGACCTCATAGCTCTACTCAAGTGGATTAGTACCCCCACAGTACCTCACTGTGCTAGATTTTAAATCATTATACCCTTCTTTACTCCTTCCACCAGCCTTTTGTGCATTAAGAGATTTGCTAATAAATATAATAGGGGACAGTAACCACCATCAAGATATACTAGAGTTAGCGCATTTATTGTGCTACAATTCTTTCTTTCAAGTCAAAAACGAGGTATATCAACAGAAAAGAGGTGTACCAATGGGGAGCTCGATAGCAGGAGATCTATGCGAACTGGTAATTAGACTCCTAGAATAGAAAGTACTGCCTGACCTACTCCACAATATTATTACATACAAAAGATATATGGATGATATAATCATATTATGGAAATCTAAACCTGACATAATGGCAGTCATAGCGGCATTTAATAATAACTCGTATGGATTAACTGTGGGCCTCGAACAGGAGAGCGACAAACAAATTCATTTTCTCGACATACACATCATAGTTAAAGGAAGGTCTATCAACACAGAGGTATACAGAAAACCTCAGGCAAATCAATTGTATATCCCTGCGCATTCATGTGACCCATGGCAATATAAGATAGCGGCCTTTAATAACTTGGCGAATAGAGCATACACCCACTCATCGACAACACAGGCACTGGATACAGAGATAACACCATTAATATCATGGCCAAAAGACATGGATATAATAGTAGGATAGCCATGAGGATCGAAAAAATGATGCATTCATAAAGAACAGATCTAACAGAACCACAAGGGCAACAAAGTGACACTCAGAAAGACAGAATCCTAATCACTTACAATCCGTACTTAGAGAAAATATACAAAGAGATCGCCAAAAGAAAACAAGCCTCCTTAATATTTAGAAGATGTCCCACTATATTTAGAATGCTAAATAATGCAAAAGACATTCCACACCAAAACAAATTAGCAGGAGTATACAAGAACCCTATAAAAGATTATAGGTGTGATAAAGACTTAGTATACGTGGGATCCACAAAAAGATCGTTGGAGGTGAGGATCAAAGAACACAAAGCAGGCATCCTACATAAAAGATATACTACAGCATTAGCACAATATGCCATGGACCCTGACATACATACTGTATTTGACGAGGCAAAGATAATTTACACCGCACAGCTAATACACCATTTGCGCTGGATGGAAGTGATATATATCTATAAAACAGCAAGAGAAGACAAGTGTATAAACAATAAGGATAAACTATCCTTATCGATAGCATGGCAAACTCTTATTTACGACACTTGAGAAGCCAAAAGCGATCCTTCTATCTACAGAGCATGCGCAAGTTTAATACGATGATTGCACGAGTTTCCTTAGAACATTGCGTTCAGATTTCGAATAACATTGATTCTACCCATTTTATTCACCTGAAGAAGAACTAAGTTCGAAAATGTTTGTGAAAATATTTGGAAATAAACACTGTTTTGGTTTACAGCAGAAGTAAGTCGTAAAAAAAAAGTAATTCAGGATACATAAACATATTTTCTATAATTTAGAGACCTCATGACATTACATTAGAATCCCAATTATTCAAAAAACATTAATATTTTAATTGTTATGCAAAAGTTCTATTTCAGTTCCATAGATTTTTAAACTTGATATATAAAAGATTATATTATAAATTATGTACAGAAAAATTACAATAATCATTTAACTGATAATTCTTACCTGAATATTTTTCCAAAATAATTTATTCCTATCATAAAAGCCACGAAAATCTTGATACTGCCGAAGTAATTCAATAGCTGGCTGAGATCCAAAAGCATCTAAGCAAGGTAAATTCAAGTCATCAATAAATATTATTATTTTCTTTCCATTTGGTGCTTTATATACATCCTTTCGTTTTTTATCTAATTTCTTTTCAATAAATTCTTGAGTTCTCTTACTGGTTGTTTTTGCTACATATAAAAAGAAAATTCTAATAATTAAAAATATAATAATCAACATATTATTTAATACATTGAACATTGACACAATAAACATCTGAAGAATAATGCATTGCACATTAATAAATTTATTTCTTCTTATCAGTTAAAGTATAATTTATATGCAACACTAAAAGAATATTAAATTATATTATTAAAAACCTGTCAAGAGAATATATATTGAAATTGTATATATCGAATGACAATGACAAAACCTTTCTCACTTGTTTCTAGCCGTTTATACACGAGTACGAACGTTTTCGACCTTCTTAACAGGCGTTCTTCGGGTACACTGTGGTAGCACAGTGTACCTGAAGAAGGCCTATTCCTGACTAAAATACAGTATCTCAGTTCACAACAGGTGCTATAGTCTAAAGATTTAGAAAATGTGATTGAGTGTCATTTCTCTATATTTCCTTTTTCTGTGGTAATATTCTGAAAATAAACTTTGATGAATTTTTCAAAAAATTCAATAAACATTTTTAACATGTCTAACATAGTAAATAATTGCTTAATTTATAAATACAGTTGTGTGTTTGGTTTGATTCCTATGCTTTAATGGATATCAAAATTTTAGGCATTTAGAAAATCACCTTATTTATCTCAACCAGAGAGAATTCAATGTATGATTTCACAGCAATGGCATAACAATTTCATAACATTACTTTTCCTAAGATTCTTTTAACTTTAGACTTGTAAAAACAAACTGATGAGTCATTTGTAACATACAAGAATGTGATGATGTAAATAAGAGAACTAGAGTATTATAGTAAGAGAAATCACACTAATCACTTTACTGTGGCCATAACAGATTGTGTTACCAGCCACAGTAAACTAAATGCATGATACACATTTACTTTTTGCTATCAGTTTAGTGTTCTCGTATAAATTTAAGTACAGAAATAAAATTTTGAAAGAATATGTTTTAAATGTGATATATTATGTTAAAAAACATGCATGATACTGTTTAATGGTAAATGTTAAAAGTGATGTTTACAAGGATTATTTACCTCCCCCTTGTCATATTTTGAATTTCCCTCTTCTCCTGTGAGGTGTGACATCATTTATGGATAGTCCAAAGAATTACTACAAAATTATACAATTTTTATCAGGATATGGCAACTTCAATTTTTCTTGTATAGGTGCAGTAAGAGTAACCACAATGCATGTTTATTACATGAAATTGAGGATATTGAGGACAATGTAATTCATTACGTAACCACTCAGTTCCATGCTAGAGAATACAAGATACTAGCACATTCTAATCCTATCATTTCATTGCATTAGTCATTGGAACTATCTCATTTTCTTTTCAAGCATGACATGTACAAAGTTTTCTGATCACTCATTAAGTGTTTTTAGGAGGGCAAAAGTACTTTTCCTTACTATAAATACTTAACTAGATATCTAACAGTTATTTGATATTTTTTACTGGTCATTTTTCTACACATTCTCATATATTTTCTATCATCTTGAATCTGTATCCCAAATCTGTAATAGGTTACAAATATAGCTGCTCTGTAATGTGTCATGTGTTATTTATAATGTATCTAATGTATTTTATATTATCCAAATTGTATCATTTTGTACACTTACTACATATTTATATATTACATACAGAAGACCAAAATACTCATTTGCTGGTATCTCATCATACGATTTATGTATATTTTCTAGGTTATTTGCCAATATTTAAATTATTTCATGACGTACAAAGATAAAATGTGAAATATAATATCTATATTTCATAACTATTTTATATTGTATCTGGATAGAATAGTCAATAAAGATTAATTTAATGATGATAAAATACATGAGATTATTTGTAATTAATAAGCAGAGGAGACTAGAAATGATTTAATGTTGTCGGTTCCATTATTTATTTATTTTCTAAGAAACTGCCCAATGTTAGAACCAGAGAGGCTTTGCCTTAAGCTCACTATTGAGGCATATGGGAAAATATGGCCCACTGACTGTATGAGAATCTTTGATTATGAAAACACTTATGATGCTTTCTTAACACTCATCACTAAATACTTTGAACAAACCACGGTCAATGCCTGCTCCTAGTCTCCTCTGCCTCACCTTGTCCTATTCATGCCCTTCTGTGTTTGTTGCTTTGGCAACAATCATCTCATCAACATAACCACCCTGTTTATCTTCAAATTTATGTCAATTTACCATATTGCTAAGACACCGTAATTTGTATTGGACTGTAAACTTGTTTGTCATTGTGTAAGAAACCAAGTCCGAACGTTATTTTTATTTACTTTTATTTTGCTTATTATTCTATTTTTGTTTGGGGCTTATGTTTTGTTAGGACGAAGTTTCCTCACCATTCACCTTAGTAACTTAAAAATAGAAGAAAAACCAACTCACCAACGAAAGAAAAGCGCCGTAGAAAACTCGCGCACACTTGCGCTTCCCAAGCGGAAAAAAGTAAGTCCGCACCGAGAAAAAAAGGGGGAAGACCCCACAACCCAGTTAGGAATCGCTACACCTTAAAAGAATAAAGCATCCCGATAATTGTTAAAAGGAATAATGTAAAAGGTTAGCGAAGTATTGTCGGAAAATAATCTGCCAGATAAACAAGAAAAATTTAATGTTACAGATAAGTATGTAAATGAGGAGAGTGA